AGAAGAAAGGGGGTGAAAGAAGAAGAAAAAGAAGGGATGGGAGGGGGAAGAAGAAGTAAAAAAGAAATGAGGTCAAATTGAAAATTTTAAAATATATAAAATTCTAATTTTAGCCCAAATAACCGGAAGTTTACCTGGAAACGGGTAAATGGACTTTTAGTGAAAGGATTATGTAAGTTCAGGGATTTTTGTGAAAGTATTTGAAGTTTAGGTACCACTTCGAAATTCTAGTGGAAGTTGAGATACCATTATTGAAATTTACCCATTGAAGACTATGACATGTTTACTTTTTTTCGTGCCTATTAATGTCAAACTACCTCCATTGCTTAAAAACATCATAAATAAGAGTTTTTATACTGCTTATCTGCTTAAAAAGTAATCACACTAAGACATTTCTCCCGTGCTTAAAAATTAATCACACTAAGACGTTTTGTGGAAGACCACCAAAACAGTTTCTCTAGTGCTTATCTCAAGACTTTTTATTATTAGAATCTTAACAAATTATAAAAACATATGAAAACACCTAATGGTGCCTATTAATATAATGAATATACGCAGGTATCAAATTAAGGCCAGAGTGATCTATGCATCAGATAGTGCGACTTTTGTAATATTTGAAAGCGTTGGATGTTTGTTGTTGCATAAGTCCTGCTCTGAGATGCTGAAGTTCTGTGAGGTATGTATAAAAAAACTTATTACATCAATGTTGTTTGTATAAAGAGCTTATCAGGTATGTGCGAATTGTAATTGTTTAACACTTACTGTCAAAATGTATATCTGCCTCCGAGTAATGTTCCTGTTCGTATATAAAGGGCATCTCAGGAAGTGAACAACCAGATGTGTTCAAACAAATGCAGCCTGATGAGTCATTTATCTTCAAGGTTAAAGTCAAGATCACGAACTTCAAGGACTTAGAACCTTCCTACAATGTGAATGACATATACTTTAATGACCGGATCATTTCAAAATTTATGGAGTTGCACTCTACATTTTTCTCTCCTCAGGTTTGGAATTAAAACAATAACTTAAAGCTCATTGTCTAGCACTCTTTGAAAGATGGAATATTTATATTTCGTAATGTATTTATATTTTCTTTATGCGAGACTGATAAGACTATCGGGTATTCAACTGATGGGAAGACAAACACACAAGTCATTTCAGTTGACAAGGCATCGTCTTACGTAAAGGTATTGAAATCCAAGACATATATAAAATAAGATTATTTTTTAATTATTTTTTATTCATTAAATTTGAGGTGCAATCTTAAGGTCAAGTTTTGTCATCGTTTTTTTATAAGTTCAATTGTGATTAATTGAATTTCGAACTATTTATAGTGTATATCCATTTGATTTTTTTCTTGCAGAATTTAATTGTGGATTTTGTGGAATCTCAAGATAGTAATCTGACACAACCTGGAGATGATGTGATCAATCTTACTCCCATGAAAAGAATGCAAGAGGAATTGTATAACGTTGGAGATGGAGATGAGTCCGTCAACAAGAACAGGAGTGTTAAGATTGAAAAAAATAATCATTATTATTATTTCGTCATTGGAGTATTCTCGGTTAATTGTTGGATTTCATTACTAAATACTTTAAGTTTTATTTTAATATTTGCATAAATAATGTTGTTGGTTTTGAATTATGATCGAGTTTTATTAAATCTACAATAAATCATCTTTTGCTAAGTGTTGTCATATATTATCATGTCTAAAATTATTGTGAACTAAGTGGTGTGTAATGCATATGATTTTTATAACATTCTAAAACAATATCATAGAATTCAATTGTTAATGATTATTCAATCTAAATATGTTTTTTTATGAAACTCTGCGTGTCTTGAGATATGATTTAAAACACTCTTTACAAACGTTTTCATAATCTAGAGGTAATAAATTTAGAGTTCTAAAAATTAAATTAAAGTTAGAAGTATTCAAAACATTCTAAGAGACATGTTTTCTAGGTAGTTTATTCTTTATTCCTAAAAGATGCTTTTTCCTATTCTTTTATTTGTTTCACAATAACATGTGCTTTAGAAAGAAATCAATGAAGAAGAGATTTTTTTCATGAACACATATCAAAATACAAACTTTGGATTTTTTATGTTGTTGGAACACACTTTGTACGTTTAACTAAAGTCGTGTTCATTTCTGACAGGTTTTGATAATTGTCAAACCGTCGTGGATATGAAGAGTTTCGTTGAATAACTCAAGGCATGAAGAAAGGCATGGAAAAACGCCAAAAAGACTCAAGGACAAGGTCAAGAATTGAAGATTTAGTCGAGTCGGTCTTTTGTGATCAAAACCGACAATCAATTCAAGTCTCGGTTCTCAAAGAGTCAAATTTATTTTACAATTTCATAAAATGTTTTTGTGCATCAAAATAAACATTTTTGTTAACTTTTTATTGTGTTTAAATCCCTGGTTCTTCCTCAGAACCAAAACCACCTAGGTCGGTGTTCGGCATCGGCGTACGGCATTCGGGGTTCGGCGTTCGGTTTTTGGCGCCCGAACCAACTCGGTGGTTTTCAATGTTTTAAACCTCGTTTTTATCTCTGATCATTTTTTGAAAGGTTCCCAAATAATTATTTTATAAAAACCACTTTTATATATTGGTCAATCGGTCCAACACGTGAAAAACGGTCAAAACCGTACGCACGTGATTTACGACCTTGAAAACTTGATTTTTACGAAACAAGTTTTGTTTTCACTATTTTATACCATATACAATGTTTTTCAAACCTGGTTTTTATTTTTGGGAACACTTCGTTTTTGGGCCTCGGGTTTTATAAACGGGTTTCAGCTGGCTAGACTTTAGCTGGGTGATAATCGATTATCACCTTAGTGACAATCGACTATCAGCCTCTGCAGCTTTGAACTTCAAAGTTCTAAAGCGCTCAGTAATCGATTGTCACTTATGCAACAATCGATTATCAGCCTTTGCAGCCAAAACCCAGAATCTTCTGAGAGGACCAATAATCGATTATCACTTGTTGAAAATCGATTATCAGGGTTACCGTTGTCCTCCAACGGATAGAATTTTAAACTTTTGGACAAGGAATCTTTCAATAATCGATTATCATGGCTAGACAATTGATTATCACCCTGCAACTCTGAAAAATTTGTCTACATCCTGTTGGAAACTCTAGCAACGGATTTATCCCATTTTGGGCTATAAAATGGCACTCAAATCCTCTCATTTTTCACACAATTCTTCAACATTTCAATACTCTTTCATTGCATAAACATTCCTATTTTTCTTAGCTATTTGAGAGCCAATTCTTGAAGAAATTATCGTGTTCTTGAGCGTTTACTAGTTCACTCACATCTACTCTTTGTGAGAGTTTTATTCCTGAGTGTTTAAGTGTTTTTATACACTTTAAGGGAGGTTGTTCCCTTGTTGTAAACTCGAATGAAGTCGTTCGTTCCTTCGTGAGAAGTCTTGGGGTGCGGTATCTCCGAGCAAAGGCGTTGAGGCTCGTGTGACTCGAGTTCTCAAGTTGTATCGGTTTGTTGAGCACCTTTAAGCTTAACGGAGTTAGTGTAACTCAAGAGAGTCTCTCGAAAGGCTGGATTAGCCACACGTTGTGGTGAACCCGGATAAAATTTGGTGTGCTCCTTCCTTACGCTCTTTACTTTATCGCTCTTGTTTTTAATTTCCTGCAATTTTGTTTTAAACGCTATTCACCTCCCTCTAGCGTTGGGCCTATATTCTAACATATGTGACATCAATCTATCAAACAAACATGTTTCAAAATCTATGTTTTTCCCTGTACATTTCAAATAAACGTGTTTAAAGAGACATGTTTCTATTGTGTTAAATAATTTCTACTAGAATCATGATTAATATTTTTTTAGTTTAGATAGTATGTTTTCTAGGTCATTTTTTCTTTCGTCCAAGAAAATGCTTTATCTTGCTTTTTTATTCCTTTCACACTAACACGTATTTTAAAAAGAAACCAATGAAGAAGATATTTTTTTTCCAAAAACACATGCCAAAACACAAGCTTTGGATTTTTGCGTGTTAAATAATTTCTACTAAAATCGTGATTAATTAGTTCTTCCACACTATGTGTCATAATTTAGTTATTATCTTGTGCTCAAAGTTGGAATTTTTATGGTATAATATTAATTATGTAAATGCAATTACAGATAAATAATAATCTAAAATATTAATTCTTATTTTCTTAAATTATTAATATATGGTACACGCTAATTGCAAAAATTAAAATTGTCAAAAATTGTTAATAATTAAAAAAATAAAAATATAATTTCCTATACATGTAAGTTAAAGGGAAAAAAAATAAATAATACATGTTCTCCAATGCAGGTTTTAATATACACCTTGGTTCCCATGACATTGGTTCCCAATGTCATGGGATGACCCGGGGGCGCTCCGGTGCCCCGTTCGTAAAATTGACGATTCCTACCCCTCCTAACCCCCCCGATAAACCCCCCCACCCCGCCCCGACCCGAACGCACCCCCCCACCCCCTTCAATTGCACCCCACAAGTTGATTTTGACTTTNTTTGGAGTCAAAATCAGCGTTTCAAGAGAATCAGCGTTAAGACAACTTCGGTAGTCGGTTAGAATGTTGCCGCCAGCACTAAATTCTCGTTCAACTGCTACGGTTGATATCGGGACGGACAACACTTGTCTTGCTAGCATGCCGAGACATGGGAACATGTGTTCGTTCCGCTTCCACCATCCGAGCACGTCAAAATCGACGTCGTCGTCGTAATCGCATGGCACACCCTGGTAGATAGCAAGTTCGTTGTGCGAGCTTACTGTTGTACCACTTGAACTCGTCGAAGACTGGGCACGCTTCCCTTTCTTTGCAAGAAGGCCACCGACTATTCCGGCAAAACCTTTTTTTGATTTCGGGGGCGGAGGTGGTGCTGTTTCTTCTTGTACAGTACCGTATAACCCTTGATATTCCTTAAATAAATCCTCAAAAAGAGTTATAGCATTATCTCTTTCATTTTTCCATTCTACTAAATAGCTGTAGTAATAACTATTTTTATCTAAAAAACAACTGTAGTAATACTCAATTAGAATTTTAAAATTTTCAATCTTAAATCGTGGATCACAAATAATACCTATTTTATAAATATCAGGAATGTACAAATAATAAGTACACCATTTATCTCTCATAGGAGAGACATAAGGGTACAAATCTAGATCAGCCATACTTTCACAAAAACATGTTGCGATTGTAATGCACTCTTTAAAAAATGTATTTGTAGTTGGTTGGTAAACATGGGAAAAAGTAAGAGTTGCGTTATTAAAAACTTCTAATACGGTATTCAATTTTTCAACAATAACAATTTCAAAATGATTAATGATTATACGAAGTTATCCCTGAAACATTCAGCAAGTTCCTTTTTATATCTTAGGATCTGTGCAATCAATTTGTAAGTACTATTCCATCTAATGTTGATATCTCTGGCAAAACTTATTTCTTTTTTACCCTTAGACTTACAGAACATCTTCCAGGACCTCGAAATAAGACGAGCCCCCCAAATTTTTTTAATTCCTTCTTTAATATTTGTCAAAACTCCGCCCATAGCTTCTAGTCCCCGTTGAACACATAAATTTAAAACATGACAGGCACACCGTTGATGAAGAAATCTACCCATAGTCGTAGATGGTGGGCAAATTTCTCTAAGTCTAGGAATAGCACCAGTATTATTAATACCATTATCAAAACCAAATGAAAAAAACTTTTTTAGATAAGTTATATTCCCGCAGAATACTCTGAAGCAAAAGAAAAATATTTTCAGCAGTATGCTGATCATTGAAATCACGAAATGCAAGAACACATTTATGCATAATCTAATCACTATCTATCCAATGACAAGTAATACCCATATAAGACAAATTATGATAAGTTTCACCCCAAATATCAGAACAAATAGCAACACGAGAATTAAAATTGAGAAAAAAATTTGCCAAATTAATTTTTTCCATTTTATACTGGCGAATAATTTCTCGTTTCATTGTTTTTCTTGAAAAACCTCATGCATGAGGGTTTAATGCCTGTTGACAATAATCAATAAAACCAAGTTTTTCAGAAAACATGTATGGCAAATTTTCTTCACAAATCATTTCGGCCATTTTTTGCTTATTTTGCTCGTCGCTATAAGCAAAAAGGTCGTCCTTACCTCTTTAGCAAACCGAGAAATTTGGGTTTGCACTTCTTGTCGTCCCTTCTTTTTTACCTCGTATTTGGCGTACTCCACGGGATGCCTCGACCTTAAGTTTTTTTTTGGACCGCCATAACCGCCGGAAACTCCCATTTTTATGACGGTCCCGCAATGTTTACAAGTTCCATAAACTATGCCATCTTTTGTGTCTTTGTCAAAATGATAAACAAATAAATCTGATTTATATTTTTTTTTACCTTTGTCCGGACCTCGAGAGGTCTCGGGCTCACCTGTCTCCACGCCGACGTCGTTGCTCTGTGGTGTAGGCTCCTCGTCCCCGTCTAGATTATCCAGTCCTGCTTCATCAAGATCTTCGAATACACTATCAAGAGTGGGGAGATTAACGTCTCCTCTACCAGAATAAATCTAGTCGAATTCTTCATCCGTCATACTGTCCCCGATTAAATGATTTGGGACAGTAGGAAAGGAAGAGACGGAGTGTCTTCCTCGAGAACCGCGTGAGGTCGAACCGTCGGAGGTGACTTTAGCTTTACCTCTCCTCAAACTTCGATTCACGGCGCCCATATCCACGGACCTTCTACCAGACTCTCTCGACATTTTAATATATATATTTTTTGATATAGAAAAATAATATATTAAATTTCGAAAATTTAAAAAAATTCGAAATTTTATATATTAAAATTTCGAAAATTTCAAAAAATAAAGAATATATTTAAATTATTTAAATATTAAAGAATATATTTAAAAATTAATAATATTTTAAATTTCGAAAATTTTGAAAAAATTTCGAAATTTTATATATTAAAATTTTGAAAATTTCAAAATTTTAATGTATAAATTTTTTATATTATTATATGAATATTAAATGTATAAAAATTAAAAAGAGATAATAAGATTGAGAGATTGATAAATTGAGAGAATGAGAGATGGATTGAGAAATTGAGTGATTTTTTAGGAAAAAAATGTGAGAATTTATAGTTCCCCCCCTCCCCCACCTCAACGGTTAAATAGCCTTTGAGGTGTGCCCCCCATAGAGGTGCATACAAATCAAATAAAATGTATTCGATTCGTGATTCGTATTCGAAAAAGATAATTCGTATTCATTATATTCGAATTCGAATCCGAATACAAATCATATTTTAGATTCGAATTATTTTCGAATTCGAATACAAATATTAATAGATTCAATTCGTTTATTATTCAAATTATTCAAATATAATAATTTATAAATAAATTTATATATATTCTAATATATTAAATATTTGTGTACATATAAATTTATATATATTCGAATATTATAATTTATAAATAAATTTATATATATTCTAACATATTTTTACTACATTTTAATTTTTACTACATTTTACATTATTATAAAATAATAATTTAATGTCTTTAAGAAATTTGTTTTAAGAAAAAAATTACTAATATTTTCGAATTCGAATATTCGAATACGAATTCAAATATGTCAAATATCTATCGAATCGAATACGAATGTTTTTTAAAATTCGAATTATATACGAATCCGAATCCGAATACATATCACTTTAATCGAATACGAATCGAATAGTGATATATTTGCTTCGATTCGATTCGTATACACTCCTAGCCCCCCACTAATTTTTTTTGCTGTTTTTTGCAGGTGGGATCGTGGGAGCCGTTGGGAATGAACAAAAGCAAAAAAAATGTAACCGGGTACCGGCGGTACCCGTACCAAAAAATATGTACCGGAACCGGTACCGAAATGGGCGGTACCGGTACCGGTTCCCGGAACCGGTGACACGGCGGCGGCGGCGGTAACAGTGGCGGGTACCGGCGGTACCGTTGCCGGTCACGGTACCGTACCGGTACCGTGTCCACCCCTAGTCACAGTAGGCAGGTACCTTCCTCACGGTACCAAGGTACCGTTCGTACGGTATGCTTTCCTATTTTATATTTATAAACATACACACACATAGTTAAATATGAAAGATATATTACACTTATTATTTAGAATATCTTGTTACTTTGTTTACCTAGACTTTAGATCCTCGAATAAAGTATTCCTTTACAATAAGTTATGTGCACGAGACTCAAACCGACTAAGTCCGCCTCTCCTGTTTTCTTTTGTCCGCCCCGCTGTGTCTCGCTGAAGAAAACCAGAATGTCGCCCCTTCATAGCCGGACGTCAACCACCATCCCTCTGTCCTCCTTCATCGTCGCACTTCCTACCTCAATTACAGGCTTCCGATTCTACGATTTCGAGATCGAGAAAAGGAACAAAGCAGAGCCGAATTCTAGATCTTCTTCTCCAAATTCCCGATCCCAAAATTCCAGGTATTCCAAATTCCTCAAATTGATCTGAATAATGAAAATATGTTCTGTTTGATCTAGATTATGACTTGTTTGAGATTGAAAAGTGTTGTCTGATTTCTATACTTCCCTTTTAAGGGAAAGAATTTGATTTCAATCATCTTATAAATTGGTTTGTCAATTTATATATTAAAAATCATTAGAAGATTTCAAAATCAAATTTACCGTAAACATGTATTTGAAAACAAAAGTCCAATTATATCATTTTGGATCAGTTTTTTTGTTTTTGTTGGGATAGGTTCTGCAACTATATGTGCTTATGCAATTTTTTTAGTTACACGCTGCATACTAAAATAATAATAATAATAATAATAATAATAATAATAATAAACATGCAATTGTTGATTATCGTTTCATGAAATTGTACATGATTATCCTAATATGCACCAAATTTTGTTTTACTAAAAAATATACTCCGTATTATCGTTTTCAGAATGGTTTTTGCTTCTATTCTGCCATTTTGATCCTGCCATCATGAGTCATGCCATGCTATTACTACAAATTTATTTTTTATTTATGATACAGTTGTGATTAAAACTTTTGTTTCTCCATGTTATTTTTCAAATTTCACACATGGCATCAGATTATTATGGTTCATTTTGAATCTGAATGCCTGCTTCTTAAAATAAATAAAAAAAATTAAATAATCCTTCATTAAATTATCTTCTTTTGAGATATTATTATACGTGACATACTATAATACAATAAAGTTTGTGTGACTAATATATGTAATTGCATGTTTAAGAAAAATAATGGGATGCTAAGCTAGTTGTATTATAAGCAAGAACCACCCAATCACTATTTTTTTAAGACTAATAAAGGTGTATAATTTTCTTTTTATGAGATATGGTGGTTTTTTGGTTGTGAAGATGTTTAAAGTTTTTTTTTTCAAACTCTTGAAATTTACCATAGAAAGTCAATTTGAATGTCATATTTTTGTTCTCTTTTTTTCTTTCTCAAAGAAAAAAAAAGATGAAGCATTAGTTCTTGCAAACCAGAACCTGCAGTTATCCAAGAATGTATTTTTATATACACTCATCACTTACCTTAATACATTTTTTTGGTAGTCAAAATGTCAAACCTATCCAAACTTGATTTTCTCGAACTCGATATATCTGGGAAAACTTCCTCACGTGGACTTTGGATGCCAAAATCCACCTCACGGCAAAGAATCTAGGAGACACAATTTCTGAAGGAAATAAAGCTTCTATTCAAGATAAGGCAAATGCCATGATATTCCTCCGTCATCACCTCCACGAAGACCTAAAAAGAGAGTATCTCACCATTGAAGATCCCCTCAAAAATTAAAACAACATCAAGAGCGTTTTAATCACCAGAAGTTAATCTTACTACTAAAGGCTCGTTATGAATGGCTCCATCTGCGACTACAAGATTATAAATCGGTCTCTGAGTACAATTCTGCACTTTTCAGCATCACCTCCGTCCTGAAGTTATGCCGAGAAGCAATAACTTATAAATAGATGCTTGAAAAGACTTTCTACGTTCCATACATCAAATATCAACCTGTTGGAGCATTACAGAGAATGTGGATTTACTAAGTACTCTGATTTGATATCATGTCTATTGTTACTAGAACAAAACAAAGAGCTACTTGTGCGAAATAACCAAACACGACCAGTTGGTATGAGCCCATTCCCTGAAGTGAGTATAGCAACTACTCAGAGTGGACGAGGGAGAGGAAGAGGCTGCGGCCCGAGCAGAAGTCGTTGTTGAAGACTTGTCGTGAGGTCCAAAACAAATTTAAAATTTATAAATAACCTTAGCTAACCCTCAAAATATAATCAAATAAAAACTATAGCTAGGGCAAGTAAGGGTCGATCCTACAGAGAAAGTTTGTACTTTTTAAAATCAATTAGCATGCGAGCACGTTGTCACTAAATAAAATAAACTAACTACTACACTTATGATAACACTTATAAAACTTATAATTAAATAAATATAAAAACTTATAAGTATAACTTATATAAACAAAGAACTTATAATATAGAACCATTTTTGGAATTTTCAAAATTAACACAAAGGAAAAAATGTAAAAATTAAACTAAAAAAACAACACTTAACAAAGATTTGGAGAACAAAATTGGAGAAACAAGCTAGGGTTACCACTTTGTTGAAAAAGATGAAGAAATTAAGGGATTGGAGCTTGAAGAAAAGTTGCTACCCACCATTGTCGTCCGCCAGCGAGCAGTGGTCCGCCGCCGTCTGCTTCCTGCTTCCTCCTCTGGTGCGTGACTTCAATTTTTGTTGCAGCGGCTCTCTTATTCTCGGTGATATTTCCCCCCTCCAACTCTCGACCAATTCCTCTGAATTTATAGCCAGGAGATTTCTTCCCATTGAGATTATTCCCGTTGAAGCTTTAATTGGGCGAAATTCATGGTGGAACGTTGGAGCGTGCTTGACTTCAGCCCTGGCGTTATCTTCGTTGTGGAAGAAGTCATAAACTTCTTTTTTTTGCCGTGCGTGAGATTGGAGAAGAAAGAGTATGCTGGGCTGGTATTCTTTTGTTGATCATTGTTTGGGCTCCGGCCCAAACTCCATCTATTCTTTCCAACATGAACTTCAATTTGGCCCGTTTGCTACCCTTTTTTCTCCACAATAAGATATCTAATAACTTGGGTTAGAAAAAATAAAATATAAATTATATAATGTAAAAAAATATTAAAAACAACTATTTTTGATTGGAAATAAAAGGTTTGTAAAAATAGGAATTAAAATAAAACTAAGCTAAACAAATGAAAATTAAATAATAAAAATACTAAAAATGCAAAAAAGAGAATTAAAAATATTAACCCAAACCCGAGTTATCAAATACCCCCACACTTAAGAGTTGAACGTCCTCGTTCAAGGGCCAAAAAAGAGTACATTATTTTTTTATCATCATCAAGAAAAAACAAAGTGAACTTTAAACCCCCACACTTAAGACCTAATGCTCATTCACATTTTTAAAAATCAAGTGAGCTAGAAATCCTACAAGGATGGAAAACTAAGGTGTGGTTTTTTTGGGTTCTAACAAATGCTCTAAAGCTACTACAAAAAAGTTTCCTAGAGGAATCCTATGGTTTAGAACGGCTCAATAGCAGCGGTAGCAAGGTTATTTATAAGAAAACCTAAATAAAAAAATCACACAATTTCTAAAAAGGGCTCCTAAAACTGATTTTTCTTCTTTCTTTTTTTTTCAGATTTTAATATCAAGCAATGGTTGATTAGGCAGCATCTAGATAGTATGTGGATGGCCAGTTCTAGAAAACAAAATTCTACGGGATTCCTAGAAGGATTTCAAACATTTTAAAGGTCATTTTTACCAAGAAAAGAGCATAAGACTCAATGCGGGTTTATAAAGTATACACTTGCCATCTTTCAGAATAAAGTCCCAAGAAAAACAATGAGGTTTTTGGGTCAATTTTGAAAACAATGCTCTAAATAAGAAGATATGCAACTAAGAATGAACAATATTTGGACCCAAAACCTATTTTGAAAAGAAAAAATTTGCCCCAAAATATGATTTCCCAAATAATAAGATAATCGTGAGAAACTCCCCCCCACACTTAAAATGTGCATAGTCCCCAATGCATCTAAATGATATGCAAATAACAATATTAAGCAAGCACGGACTTAGCAAAGAGAGAAGGGAATTGGGGAATTCAACAAAAAAAAGTATACGCAGCATCAATTTAGCACTTTCCTCTCCTTGATGTGCTCGATGGACCTAAAATCTACAAAAACATGACTAAGACCAAGTCTTTTAGCTTTGAAGAGATAAAAATCAGATTTAAAGATTGTAGATTTTAAGCTTCAAATTTGATTCTGGAAAACAATTCTTGTGCCTTTTTGCACTTTTCAAAACAAAATGTTGCATAAGAGAAGGTTTGTTATGTCATGCACGTGCAAAGCAGCTCATATGCATCTATTAAACATCATAATTCAACACATGCATTTGATGAACTCAAAAATCAGATTGAACACCAAGAAAAGATTGCAGATTTTTTCTATTTCAGCACCTATAAACTGTAAAAAGTGTAAAATTTGCATTTTGCACTCAAAAAAACAGCTTATAAGTCCAAAAATAACTTTTCAAAATGCAGAACTTTTCATTAGTATCCAAAAATCAGCTGTAAACAATGCACATGTCTCAATCTTCAGCTTAAGTATCACCATATTATAACACCCAAACCTTAAGGAAAATGAAATTTTACAACAGAGAAATCATTGGGTACTTGAGACCGCTGATCTGGATCAGAATTTTGCACATTAATAATGCAGATATTAACCATTTAAGCCCAAAAATCAAATTACAAAGGCATACTACATAGTTCGCAAGCAAAAATTAGAGTGCAGATTTTGTGCATATTCTACCAACAAAAACCAAACTTCGAACACAAAAGGGTTAAGGAAACTGAAGGCCAAACCTGGAATACTTGGAGCTATTGATGATCAAATTTCACATATTTTTTTCAGTTTCCTACCTGGAATTTCTGTTTCAATCCAGATTGGCACCATTTCTGTGCAGATCTTCACTCCAAAGGAGAATACTTCTATCTATGACTTAATAGCCCTTGCATTTTCACTCAAATAAATGGTTAGAAGCATACATGGAGCAAAAATAGACCATTAAACAAGCATCAAAAACAGCAATATTTCTGAACTCCTGATGATGAAGTTTTTTCCATTTTTCTGATTTTTTTCTGTTTTTCTGATTTTTTTGTTTTGTTTTTAACAAAACCAAAAGATTAATAAGCAACAATAATACAAATTAAATAAAGAGCAAGAAAAGTATGTGGGTTGCCTCCCATAATTTGCCCGATTTAACGTTTTTGGCTAGACGAACCTTTCTACTCGCCAATACATATTCACTTAAGCCATAAAATAGTAAAGTAAATGTGTTTCTTTAAAACACTCAAAGAAAGTAAAAACAACGGAAGCCAAAATTCGGAACCCAAGTGCAGATTGTAAGCTTCAAATCAGTATTTAGAAACAAAGTTTTCTGCATTTTTGCACTTTGACATCAAAACTCAGCATATAAGGGTCAAATTTAGATTGCAAAGACAAGCTAAATACCCTTCAAGTCAGTTCCTATGCATATATTTAACAATTAAAGTACATAATTCAGCAAGTAGGCATCTTAGGAACTCAAATTCAGCATGAAAAGCAAGAAAAGATGTTGCAGATTTTTTTAATTAAAAAAAAACCATGCAGATCAGATTTTATCAAAAATTCAGCTCCTAAAACATCAAAATCAGCATAGAAACATCATGGCATGCTTCAAAATTTTGTCCCCAAACAAGATATATCAATAATAGTTCATATTTTAAGCAAATGAGCACTCTTAAGGGACAAAAACAGCAAGAGTAGTACAGATTTCAGAAAAATCAGCAAGTACAAATCAGTTTTTTCTTGCATATTTAGCTTGAAATGCATCCAAAATCAGCACACAATTCTAACATAATCAAACCATACATGTTGTACTTATAAAAAAAATGAATAAATCAGCACAAGTGCAACAAATATGACCAATTGGATACTCAAATCAGCAAGAATATATGCAGAAAATAGTGTTAAAATGAAATTTTTATGAAAAATAGGCCTGAAATTTCATAAAAACAACATTTGGAACACAAATTCAGCATTCAAGAAGTCAATAAGGCTGATTTTAGTTCATTCCAGCACACATATCCTCAATTCTACGAATAGGCATTTAAAACAAATTAGAACTCAAGAAAAGAGGCTACTACCACATGCTCACTAACAAAAAAACAAAGAAAACAATGGCATACTAAAGTGATTTCGTACAAAACTTTCCCCGGCAACGGCGCCAAAATTTGTTGGGGACTTGTCGTGAGGTCCAAAAAAAATTAAAAATTTATAAATAACCTTAGCTAACCCCCAAAATATAATCAAATAAAAACTATAGCTAGGGCAAGTAAGGGTCGATCCCACGGAGAAAAGTTTATACTTTTTAAAATCAATTAGCATGCGAACACGTTGTCACTAAATAAAATAAACTACAGTTATGATAACACTTATAAAACTTATAATTAAATAAATATAAAAACTTATAAATATAACTTATATAAACAAAGAACTTATAATATAAACTTAGTAAATAAAAACTTATATTATAACTTAAAATACAAAAGGGGGGGGGGGGGGATTGAATAAGAAGTAAATATATTTTTGTTTTTATATTTTCTTATTTTTTTGTTTTTTTGATAAAATGGGGGAAAACAAGCTCAAAAGGTATTCATCTCCTCCAACAAAGGTAACCCAAGAAACACCACCAAGAACCCAAAACAAAATAAAAAAAAGAACAAACACAAGCCGAACATTACACGTATAATAGGCACGTAGACAATATATTACGTAACTTACGCACTTAAGAATAGAAAAAACAATCAGAGGCCGAGTCGATTCATTTCCTTAACCACGATATGGAGGATTGTCAACTCTCCACACGGCCCGGAGTCATGCAATTCAAAGGCCCGTTTTGAAATATACCTTAGAACCCCAACTCTCTATTCAAGTATGAAAACGTACTTCCACTATAGAAAAAGTTTATAAAAGAGAGAATTTATTATGCATTCAACTCTCATACATAATCTATTCACAAACCGCCAATACCTTATATATTTTAATAAACTTTTTCTCCTAATGATGAGCACATTTCATAGATTTCCATTAACTCCTCAAACCAATGACGTTTTTTTCTATTCACATAGAAGAACACAACATATTTTCAATAAATCAAGAATTGTTTATTGCACTTAAACAATCTCAATTTTAATGAAAATGGAAAACAAACACATAACATAACAAAATCACTCTATAGCGAATTCTAAGGAAAATGAATCAACTTATGGGGCTAAGAAGTCCAAAATCCTTAAAATCAACGAACACAAGCACAAAAAAGAAACACGTATGAATTCGGAGTTTATTTAACTATCTTATGGAGCTAAAATAGCTTCAACAAAAACCGAATTCTACAGAACAACCTACTTATGAATTTGAAACAATTCAAGCAAATCAACAACTTGTGCAATATTAAAAACCCATGAAAGAACACCAACCATTTTTGGAATTTTCAAAATTAACACAAACCAAGGAAAAAAATGTTAAAACTAAACTAAAAAACAACACTTAACAAAGATTTGGAGAACAAAATTGGAGAAACAAGCTAGGGTTACCACTTTGTTGAAAAAGATGAAGAAATTAAGGGATTGGAGGTTGAAGAAAAGTTGCTACCCACCATCGTCGTCCGCCGGCGAGCAGTGGTCCGCCGCCGTCTGCTTCCTCCTCTGGTGCGCGTGGTGCGCGGCTTCAATTTCTGTTGCCGCGGCCTAGAGCCGCCGCTCTCTTATTTTCGGTGATATTTCCCCCCTCCAACTCTCGACCAATTCCTCTGAATTTATTGCCAGGAGATTTCTCCCCGTTGAGATTATTCCCGTTGAAGCTTTAATTGGGCGAAATTCATGGTGGAACGTTGGAGCGTGCTTGACTTCGGCCCTGGCGTTATCTTCGTTGTGGAAGAAGTCGTAAACTTCTTTTTTTTTGCGGTGCGTGAGATTGGAGAAGAAAGAGTATGCTGGGCTGGTATTCTTTTGTTGATCATTGTTTGGGCTCTGGCCCAAACTCCATCTATTCTTTCCAACTTGAACTTCAATTTGGCCCGTTTGCTACCCTTTTTTCTCCACAAAATAAGATATCTAACAACTTGGGTTAGGAAAAATAAAATATAAATTATATAATATAAAAAAAATTAAAAACAACTATTTTTGAATGGAAATAAAAGGTTTGTAAAAATAGGAATTAATATAAAACTAAGCTAAACAAATGAAAATTAAACAATAAAAATACTAAAAATGCCAAAAAGAGAATTAAAAATATTAACCCAACCCCGAGTTATCAGTCGTGGTTGTGGATGAAGCAATACATGGCATCGAGATTCTTATAATTCTAAGCATGGAAAGGGTAAATTGAAGGGTAAAGCTAAAGGAGGCCAAGAAAATGCATGTTACAAGTGTGGCATGACCAACCACTGGTCTCGAACATGTCGCACCCCTAAGCATCTTGTTGCGGCATATCAACGAATGGTGAAAGAGAATGAAAATGGAAAACACATTGAGACAAATCTCATTGACACCACCACCTCATCAATTTCTACTATGCTCACAAGTATTCATCTAGATGCATCTGATTTCGTTTAGAACCACTAAATCATACTGCGTAGTTTTTTTCTCTCTATTTGACTATGTTCTAGATAATATGTTGCATTTAGTTGGGTTTTTGTTTTAAACTTATTTGATGTTTTTCCTATACTCTCTATCATTCCTATTAGTACTATTCAAAGTTTTATGAGGTGATTTATTAAATGAATGAATATTAATCATTATCTTTATTTCTTGAAGAAATATGAACACAAGCTCTAGCAGAATCTTAAAACATTAGAAATATTTTTCTGAATTATTTCCAATCAAAATACTTGTTGGTACTATCTCGGGTGTTAGTGACATAATTGAAGGCTTTGGAATAGCATGCATCATATTACCCTCAGGTACCAAATTAATCATAAATGATGCATTATACTCAAGTAAATCCAAAAGAAATTTACTTAGTTTCAAAGATATAAGACAAAATGGTTACCACCTCAAAACCACATCTGAAAATAGAATAGAATACTTACAAATTATTTCCAATGAGGACATTTTAGAAAAGGTAGAAGCTTTATCCTCTGAATTATATGGTACAAATATTAATCATATTGAGTCATATATGGTAAGTAACCAGAAGTTACTAAATAAAGACACTTTTACCATATGGCATGACCGACTAGGTCACCCTGGCAGTACAATGATGAGACGCATAATAAAAAATGTGAATGGGCATCCACTCAAAAATCTAAAAATTTTATTGCCAAAAGATTTATCATATGCAGCATGCTCTCGGGGAAAATTCATTACACGGCCCTCAAAAATAAAATTGATACATGAAAGTCCTTCCTTTTTTGGAAAGAATCCAAGGGGACATTTGTAGGCCAATACACCCTCCATGTGGACCATTTTGCTATTTCTTAGTGTTAATTGATGTTTCCTCGCGGTGGTTACATGTGAGTCTTCTAGCTACTAGAAATGTAGCGTTTATGCGACTTTGAGCCCAAATCACACAATTAAGAGTGCATTTGCTAGAAAATAAAATTAAAAATTCGCATGAATAATGCAGGAGAATTCACATCCCAAGATTTTGATGATTATTGCATGTTCATACACAAAATGGTTTAGCTGAATCATTAATTAAATGATTGGAGTTAATTGCTAGACCGTTTCTGATGAGAAGTAAATTGCCATCTTCAGCATGGGGGCACGCTATTTTACACACTACTACACTTATCATACTAAGACCAACTGCCGATCAAGAATGCTCCCCACTTCAACCGGTCTCTGGAAGAGAACCAAATCTATCCCATTTAAAAATATATGGTTGTGCAGTTTACTTCCTAATACCGCATTTATATATATATTTTACTCCGCATCTATCATTCCAAATCCCAGGAGTTGATTATGAGGAAACGTATTGTTCGGAATCAGAGATCAGAGGCGGTCAAGCGGAAGCGAACACACACACACACAAATAGAAGAAAATAAGAACACGAGATTTAACGTGGTTTGGTCAGTAACCTACTCCACGGGTTGCAACTAGGGCTTTTCTTTTATTAGGTGCTCACAGATTATAGTTACATGATTGGGTATTTATAAGATATAAATTAGGGTTAACAACTTGCTAAACAAGAAACAACTAATGGGCCCTTTAATTAATAACTAAAGCCGGCCCCCATATTTCTTCCCTTTAACCGACCGGGCTTAAAGCCCAAAGCTCTAAAGCCTTCACCAAATAACCCAACAATCTCCCACTTGAAGGATTTCGCATAGACACAAATGCCATCCAAGTAAACCCATCATGAGTAACTCAGTAATCTTCACTGTCAAGTCCTCCAAGCCTCCAATTCCCAAGAACAAGCTAAGACTCCAGTTATATCCCCTAGTTGCAACCACCCCCTTCATTAATAACCTGAAAGGACAGTTGAAGCTCCACCGAGCTCCAACCCAGTCGTGACTGTAACCGCCACAGCCTCTGTCTCAACCAGCTTGCACAATCCACCGGATCCAGAGATACACCGAGGACCATTACCACTCTCCAAATCCAGCAAACTACTCTCATGAGAGATTTTAACGTTCGGATTCTTGGTCCTCAAAACCCAATGACGTTTCACAACTGTACTCGGAACACGTCCCATGCTCCCACTGTCACGAAACCCCTGACCTGATTCAGACCTCCGAACACACTCAACCGTCATCCCCAAAACTCCAAGATTCACGTTTGCAAAATGAACCTTCTTAGCTTTGCCCGATTCAGTGAGCCCGACTTTGTTAACTGTCTCTGCCGGGTTGGTCACTCTCTTAGATGTCACCGGTACCATGTATAACGATCCTCTTTTCAAGCCTCGAGCAATAACCAAATTTCTTTTGATCACCATCCATTTTCCACCACCAAACTTGACGTCTAGTCCTTGCTCATTCAATTGTTCGACTGAGATCAACTTTGTCTTCAATCTTGGAATCACCCTGACATTTTGTAAGCTCCAAGTAGTTCCAAATGAAGTTTTTAGATCAATATCTCCCATGCCTGTGACTTTAAGGATTTTCCCGTTACCCAACTTTACCTTTCCAAAGTCTCCCTTTTTAAGATTCACCATCGCCTCACCACTGTGCATGGCGTGAAACGAAACACCAGAATCCATGACCCAAGAGTCAACATAGCTTTCCATGCTGAGTATCAATGCATCACTATCATCATCAGATGCATTCCCAACAACTGCGCTAATTTCGTTTTTCTTGTTTGGGCATTGGCTCTTGACATGCCCAACTTCTTTGCAGACCCAGCACACCACATTCTTTCCAGCCTTAGACGAGCTCTTCCCACGACTCCCACTGTTTCTGTTATTACCTCTTCCCCTGCTAACACTGAGTAACCTAGAAGTAGATCCTCCAATAGCGTTCCTCCGGCAAATGTCTTCACCCAAAACACTATCCCGTATCCGATCAAACTTCAAGTTTCCTGTTCCAGCAGTTTCAGTAACCGTTGTCACAAATCCCGACCAACTATCAGGCAAGGAAGATAACAGAATCACAGCCTGAGTGTCATCATTGAACTTCATGCCTACTGATGATAACCTCGACAAGATCGAATTGACCTCATTAATGTGATCAGCAACTAGGCTGCCCTTGTTCATTCTCATCATGAACAATTCCCTCATCAAGAACACTCTATTGCCGGCCGATGGTTTCTCATACATATTTGACAGAGCTGTTAACATACCACGAGCAGTTGTTTCCTTCATGGTATTAAACGCCACACTCCTCGTCAAAACTAGTGTAATTTTACCTCTTGCCTTTTTGTCCTTTGAGTCCCAAATTGCTTCAGCAGCCTTATCCATTCCATCCGGTTTCTCTTCCAGTACCATGTCCAAATCGTACTCACCAAGCAACGCCTCTATTTGCATTTCCCACCATGCAAAATCAGTACCGTTGAACTTCTCGATTCGAACCCTCCCGTCCTCGGCCATTGCAGAACGAGAGAAAAAAAACCATAGAAAAAACCAAGGAATAACGGCCCGAAACCAAGCAACCTCCAAAAGAAAACAAACCCTAAATCAAAGAACCCGAACCAACGAGTACCAGGTCCAAAACCAGAAACCCTAATCGCCAAGTTCACCCAAAACCGACTGAACAGCCCCTGACCAGATCTAAACCAGCCTCTGATCAGATTCGAACCAGCCCCTGATCAGATCCGAACCAGCCCCTTAACCGCGGCAGCAAAACAGCAGCAAAAACAATCTTGAACAGCCTTCTTCCTGCGATTGATCCTGTGTAACCGTGTGTTTAGCTGAACCAAGGCTCCGATACCACTTGTTAGGAATCAGAGATCAGAGGCGGTCAAGCGGAAGCGAACACACACACACACAAATAGCAGAAAATAAGAACACGAGATTTAACGTGGTTTGGTCAGTAACTTACTCCACGGGTTGCAACTAGGGTTTATCTTTTATTAGGTGCTCACAGATTATAGTTACATGATTGGGTATTTATAAGATATAAATTAGGGTTAACAACTTGCTAAACAAGAAACAACTAATGGGCCCTTTAATTAATAACTAAAGCCGGCCCCCATATTTCTTCCTTTTAACCGACCGGGCTTAAAGCCCAAAGCTCTAAAGCCTTCACCAAATAACCCAACACGTATTCCCCTGTAGTGGTTGCGATAACCCTTTGATTCTTCATCGGCCTCGTAATCTCAAAAGGACTTCTAGTGAAAGTGATGGATGTTGTCACAGCGTACTTATATGGGACACTTCAGAATAACATCTACATTAAAATCCCTAAAAGATTCAAAATGCCGGAAGATTTAAAATCAGTACCTCGAGACATGTGTGCTATAACAATATTTTGTGTTATCATCAATGAAAGTGATAAAGTATTTATTACCGCCTCTAGTGGGCGTTGTTCAAAATTTACACATATTAGTGTTAACTAGCTCTAGAGGCCGTGTATTTCGTTCAATCGTTTAGAATGAACTTCGCATTAACTTAGCTTCAACACAAGTCTCAAACTTGTGGGTTAAGTCAATGTTGAATTTAGGAATGTGTTTCATGTTAATTAATTTTCAAAGAGATGCATAATTAACATTTCCTAGTTTGTTATGTCATAAATTGGAAGACTCGCACACATGCAAATGTTTTTTCCATCACAGACGTATCATTTGCCTATGAAAACCCCCCTTTTGGACAAGATCAATTTATCTGACTTAAACACCATTCTGGAGTTGTGTTTGATCATTAGTGACTATGATGTGACACTAGATTCTTTTGAATGTCTTGCACGTACAAGACGTCATATATCGTGAGCTCTTTGCTAGAGGTCATTTTCAGCTTGATCTTTCGAATACCCAGGAATTCTGCTTCAGTCAAGTTGCCCATCCATACTTTTTCACCAGAGGTCTCTTGAAACTATGGAACATGCCCCTATTGGAGCAAATACGCCAGGTAGAACCTGTGTGCATGAACCACTTCTTTGGATTTGACCCAACAAGGTTTAATTCTATGACAATTGCACATAGGTCCATGTGCATTGGTCCAGTTCCGTGTAGAGTGCCTCATCTGACTTCTTTTTTTATCGGGTTTCTTTTTCCTGTGCAATGTGGTCCCACGAACAGATTGACCAATGCGTTAAAGCCCACGATCAGTCCAACGATGGTGTTGACCGATATCGCCAAAGTCCGTCTTAGAAAGGGGTTCGTCGATGCATGACCAGCGGAGTACATCCCCTAGCTTCTGAACCCAGCAACAAGTTGTGGAACAGATCCAAAGATAGAGCTCGGCATCAAGAATGAAGTCATGGTTGTAGCCCCAACACTGGACCCAAAGGGAAACGACGAGGAACTCACATCCATATTTAATGAAACTAGAGTTCCCATAAGTGTTTTGGAACTGTTTCCGTTACCGTTGGAATCTGCAATGCCAAGCCCGAACTCCATTATACTACCTTAAGATTGTTAAATCTAATATAGTGGGGCATGAAAACAAAAAATGAATCTGAACTTATAAACTGATCGGATTTACAATAAAATCAAATAAAGAAACTAGACTACAGAGCTGCAGAAGATGAACTGAGTGTTAGCCTTTGTTTGCTAAGACTTGTATTTTTTGCTTTGATGTTAACAAACAATATAAGAGCTAAATGTTTGTTTAAGTGTTTCAGGTGCAACAAGAATCTATTAAGATTCGATTCTCAAGAATGAAGTCGAAACACTAAACTAGCGTAGAATATAGGTAGAAACGAATGTAAGGATGTTATTTTATATACCTATATTCACAAGCTCAAATGCACTCACAAAAACTTGTTTAAAACCATATCATAAAAAATTTCAAATATCCAAAAGGTTTTAAACTCAAATAGAAAGGATTAAGCAAATTTTGGAAAAACCAGGTCAGGCTAACGGTGTCCTTCATGGTACCTCGCTACCATCTCATGGTAGGGTATACCACCTACATGTTACCCTGGTACCGGGAAGGTCTAGGTTCCGCCAAAGCTTATTGCTTTTTAAGGTCCTAGGGTCCCTATATGTTAGGCTCGTCCGTCCCTATGGTACCTTGATACCGTCCAACCGGAACATTGCTACCATGACCATTGCAAGAAAATTCATATTTCGGATTTCAAATTTCATCACGTTTAATTAGTAAAAATCCTTCCAAATTACTTTCCAACAACTAAATGACATTTTTCACTATAAATACAAGCTTAATCCCTCATATTTCAACAACAAATCCAAGCTCCAAACATTAAATTTCATTATTCTAGTGTGCTCTTATTCTTGTTCTTCATTTTTATTATTTTGGCTATTTTCAAGAGCCTTATTCTTCTGATTTCGTACACACACATTGAGCTTGTGGTTATACGTATATACTCTCATATTCATTAGGTTGATCTTGTATTGTTTTCGAGAGTATAATCTTCGTTCTTCACTGGCCAAGGATTGATCCTTTTATTTGTCATAGGCCAAGAGGTGTTAAACATTTTTGTGTTTTTTGACACATCTTCCCCTCATTGTAACGGTCAAGAATAGCTGTATAAATCCTTGTATAGACGGTAAAGGATAGCCGAGAAATCCGTGGGTAAAGGTTCCAGGATAGCCTTTTAAATCTTTGGGGGTACGGTTGAAGATAGCCGTAAAATCTTCATTGTAAGCGGTTCGAGATAGCCGTAGTGAAATCTCGGAGTGAACCCTCTTTGCAAGGGTTGTTTGCCAAACTAGTGTTGTGCTTTGATGGGGTTCAAGAGGACCGAGACTTCGTGGATTCAGAAATCCTTAAGGAGAAGCCTTAAGGTACTGGAGTATGGCTTTCTCGAATTAGTCTAAAATTTGGTGTGTTCTTATTTTACGCTTTTATTTTTTCATTTAATTTATTGCTTCCGCATTCACCAATACCAAATTTGTTAAACTCTGAAAGGTTTTTAAATTCCTTATTCGCCCCTCTAAGGTGAGCACAATAACTAACACTTACTCTAGAGCCTATGAGCGTCACACCGACAGTAGGATTTGGGCAGTGGTGAACGAAGTAGTATTTTCAAAGAATGTTGCGGAAAGTGGAGTCGCTGGAGCTCTCCTTAAGGTGGTATTGACCGCATCCCACACTAGCAACGTGAACAATATCCTCCCAAGATAAAACCGCTAATGTGCATGGTCTAGAGTAGTAGAACTAGGGGTGTGCATTATTCGGTCCGGATCCGGAATGACGTGAAATCGGCCAAAACCGGATCGGACCGGTCCTTATTCGATCCAGTCTTTGGTCCTAAGTTTTTCCTTATTCAGGTTCTGGTCCGGTCTTTGGTCCTAATTTTTTCTTTATTCGGGTTCTGATCCAGTCCGATCCATCGGTTTCGGTCTAGACCGGTTACATTTTATTTTTTTTAAAATATTTGTTTCTATATAGTTTTATAATATAGTTTTTTTAAGGTTTTTTCTTATACTTAAATTTTATTTAAATTAAATACTTAAAGTTTTATCAAATGTTTTGATTTTATTATTTAATATGATTTTCTTAATACATTCCAATTCAAAATAAGATAACAATAATTCTAATGATATTCAAATATTTTTAATATGAGAAGTGTGAAAAAGTAAACATTACCTTTGTATTAGCGATCTAATGCATTTTAAATTTATGTACCAATATTATAACTTAAGTTTGTACTTTATGACTGATGAAACTCTAATCAACAAAAATAAATATTGTAAACAATCTCATGAACAAGAATAGTAAAAAATGTATTCGTTAGCCAAAATAAACTGAAGACACAAAAAAATTACAAAAAACCAAAAATGCAGTAAGAAGAACATTCCCTATGTAAAACAAAAATTACAAACAAATTTTATGCATTATGGATGGAGGATATATATTTTATTTAGAGTTTTTAAAAAATTGAAAACAATAGTGTTTGACAATGTTTAGTGTATGTTACACATTAAAAATTAATTCTAGTAATATTTTTATGCCATTGAATAGTTTAAATTAAATAAATAAAATCAAATTTTAAAAAAAAATCACATTTATTCGGTCCGATCCCGGTCTGGTTCGTGTTTGACCGGTCCAGTCTCAGGCCGGTCCTTACCTTAGTCGGTCCAGTTTAGTCCTGGGCCAGGCCGGTCTGGTTCGAGTTTGACCCGATGAACACGCCTAAGTAAAATAGTGCACCGACAGACTAGAATGAAAAAGGAATTACTCACTAGAGAAGACATACGAAATCGGAGAGTTTGAAAGAGAGTTGGAGAATGTGTATAGAGATTGCTTAAGTGTGTTTTGCTCTATTGCAAAGTGCGCCTCATATAGGAGTGGGATGGCTCTTCAGTTGGACACTAGATGGACAATACGAAGAGTCACCAAAGACCTCTAGAGATGCATGCATGTCAAACTCTCGTCTTCGTTATTAATGAACAAATTGCTCACACGTGTTCGATTCGGTCTCATAAAAAGATAGGAGTACGCTCACGCCCTCGCCATGTCACATCCTACGGCGTCGTGTGCGCGCACACACATGCCACATGCCAACGTGTTACTCCTTCTAGGTATTCGAGTTTGTGAATTAATTTCTTATTCAACCAAGCACCATTTTTTGTGCATATACAAAACACTTTTTTCACTTTGGAGATTAATTATCCATAATAACATATACCTCTTCTGTGATGAAGAGGTAAACAAACCTCTTTAGAATTAAAAAAAAAAGGTATAATACCTTCTCAAATATATTTCTTGTTGGAGAATAAATTGTCTAGAGAAAAGATAAATATGATAGTTATTATGATTTGCCTTTCCATTTACCTCCTAAAGCTTACCCATACATTGAAGGCGAGCATTGACTACTAACTCACTATGCGTCGTTAAAAAAGTATGAACAAGTACTACATTCTAAGTGAGTCAATAACAACACTTAAAAAACATTTCATATAAAAATAATATTTGTAGTCTATTTTTTGCTATTAACATTCTATCATATACTCCGT